TTCAGAGTTAATGGATTTCTTAAGAGAAGTTCTGTTTCGCTTAATAGGACACTTGACTTAGGTTGATTACTCGTCTGACCTTTTATATTAAAAGTTCTGCGGGACATTATCCTAGCATCTGATCAACACTCGATAACCGATTCATTCTCGGCTCTAATAGCCGGTACCGTAAGGGTATCGCCTCTAGTCTAAAAAATGAAAATCTTCAAAGACAATAAAAGTCGATACGATATGTATCGCCTATAGAGCAAAAACAAAAGCAAAAAGAATCATACACAAGGACGCTGCATTGAAACATGTTCATGGAGGAACAGGAGTCTTTGTTCATCAGATTACCCTAAGTATAGACTAATCAAAGATCTTGTTCACCACATCCTGAGCGGATGTGATGTCTACTATGGCCTCTGCTGCAATAGTGAATTCTTCAAGCAGGTCCTCGTGCTCCTTAGGGCCGTCACCCACTGGGAAACCTATTTCGATGACGTGAAGCTCGTACCCTGTTTGGACTTGCGCCGTGGTTAGCGCCACCGCCGCACCATGACGAACGCCATGGAGGGCGATCTCCCGAACGTGGACCGGGACGTCTTGAAGATGAGCGTCGATAGAGGAACCCCGGGCATTGACAGCGTCTATGGCCGCGTTCGCCACTAGTTGGAGAGATTCCAACTATGCTGTCAAGGCTGACAATCACGAGAACAAAAAGACGGTCAAGATGAAGATAATGGAAGTCAGAACAAAAGCCTTCATGGGATTCATCTTACCCGCTACCATGGCGTCGGATTTGGCCAGCCGCGCTCGGACGGCGCTGGCCTCCTCCTCGGCCATGTGAAGGGCGGCCTGGGAAACCCGAGGCGAATCTCCAGTTGGCCGTTCTCCCAAGTCACCTCGGAGTAACAATTTTGAGTCATCCTCCACTCATGAAGATAGCGCCGGGCGTCGTCGCCGTTGTAGGAATCAGAATAATCCAACGATGAGGCCGGCACAGAAGATGCGGCGTCAGAAGGCCCGCCGGCCCTGGGAAGAGGACGGAGGCTATCATTCACAACAAACCTATAGGCGAATTAGAACTATTCATCATCATGAACAAGAATGTCAATCTCACCTCATGCGCCAGAGACGTTGATTCATCGGCATGTTCTCCTCTAGGGTCTCCCCTGCCGCACGCTTGCCGTGGTTATCCTCGCCGGCCATGGAATCGATTGGATCTATAGGAAGGGGAGGAAACTGCTACAGGGGCTTGAAGGCAGAGAGATGTAAAGGAACAGGAGCGGTTGCCAGTATAGATGTGTTCGAGGTCGAAGCCCTCGGCTGGTATTTGAAGACATGAAGCGAAGAGGCAGACGCCTCGGAACACGCAAAAGGCAACCGACCATCATCGATATCTTATTGCCATTGATTAATGTTTGCTTAAATGATATTTATTCTGAATGATAACTAATTCTTCTTACACAACCCCATAAGCTTTAACCGATTTATTCTTTTCAATATGCTGGAATCGACTATTTAGTCAATCTCCTCTCATATCGGCTCTCAGAGCCACACATTCGGGACTGTCTGGCAACACCGACATGTTCCGCCCTTAATTACTGATAAACTTTCTCTCCTTGTCAATTGCAGGGTCAAATTGACTAGCACGTCTCGGGAGGATTACGTAGGATCGACCACCCTTGCACTGAAGTTAGGCGGATCTGCTCCATCGAGCGGACCCTTCCGGCTTGCAGCGTGTGTCCTCGGCACGGGACGAAATTCTATGTCGACACACACCAATGGTGTTCCTGGGCTACGCGGAGGGTACCAAGGCGTACCGGCTCTACGACCCACGCGGAGACAAGGTGCTTGTCTCGCGCGACGTTGTGTTCGACAAGGAGGCGGCTTGGAACTGGAGCAGTCCGAGCACGGGGGAAGCTGGCAGCTTCACCAACACCTTCATCGTCGAGCACTTGGTCATCCACGGTGGTGGAGACGCTGGGGAAGAGGTGCCGAGCACTCCGGCGGTAGAGCCGGGCACTCCTGGGGCAGTGCCGAGCACTTCGGGAGGGATGCCGAGCACTCCGGGAGGAGTGCCGAGCACTTCTAGAGGGATGCCGGGCACGCCAGGAGTAGTGTCGGGAGGTTCTACAGTGGTGGCAACCACTCCAGGACGGGTGTCGAGCACTCCCGTGGCGGAGCCAAGACGTCTTATAGTGGTGCCAACCATTCCAAGACTGGGGCTAGGTACTCCTACAGTATGGCCGAACACTGCAGGAGTTATGACAAGCTGTCCAGAAGTAGTGCCGAGCACTCAAGGTGTTGTGCCAAGCACTCCGGCAGAACAGCGAACTCCATCGACGCTGATCGAGTTCGCCTCACCTCCAAGTGACATCACTGAGTTCGTGGACGCCTACCATGAAGGTGTGGAGGTGCGGTTCCACAGGCTGGACGACATCGTCGGCGGCATAGGTCCTCAGTCCGGCGGTGCGCTGCTCAATGACGCGAGCTGCTACTCGTCGCTCTGAGGAACCACCACCATGTTCGCGCTAGCTGCGTGATGGAAATCGCGACGAAGCGTCTTTGCCGGAGGAGATGAAGGCGATCGAGGAAAACGAGACTTGGCAGCTCGTCGATCCACCTCCAGGATGCCATCCGATCAACCTGAAGTGGGTATACAAAGTCAAACGGGACGAGCTCGGTGCCATTGTCAAGCACAAGGCGCGCCTCGTCGCCCAAGGCTTTGTTCAGTGCGAGGGCATAGACTTCGAGGAGGTCTTTACGCCAGTAGCGCGCATGGAGTCGGTCCGTTTGCTACTTGCTTTGGCAGCAGCAAAGGACTGGCGCGTCCATCACTTGGACGTTAAATCGGCCTTCCTCAACGACGAGCTGGCAGAAACGATCTTCGTCAGGCAACCTCCAGGTTTCGCCGTCAAGGGAAAGGAGCACAGGGTGCTCCGACTACGCAAGGTGCTCTATGGGCTACGATAGGCCCCTCGAGCATGGAACGCCATGCTTGACGCCACGCTGGGCGAGCTTGGGTTTCAACGTTGCGCAACCGAGCTCGCGCTCTACACGCGGCGACGGGGAAGGAGGAACTCATCGTCGGCGTGTATGTGGATGACTTGATCATCACCGATCGTGGTTTAAGGTAAAGCCTATAATTCTTGGACAAAAGAAGGGCCAAAGTTTAGTATCTATTTTAGAACAGAGTGGTGTGTTGTAGCTGTTAAATCTATCGGCAATTGACCGTGATGATGAAACATGCTCTATGCGCTAATCTGTAATGGAATGAACAAAAGTAAATGATATGAATTCACTCTCGCGGGGGGAGCTATTTCATGGAAAAGCTCAAAACAAACCATCACTACATCGTCCACAATGTATGCCGAGTTTGTAGCGTGTTATGAGGCAACGGGGCAGGTGAACTGGCTAAAGAAGTTCATACCCGGTTTGAAGGTGGTTGACGACATCTATAGATCACTTAAGTCAAGTGGTGCTGCCAAACACATTGACATAAAGTATTATGTTGTGAAAGATAAAGTCCGAGATCATGTCATAAGTCTTGAGCATATAAGTACCGAAAAGATGCTCATGGATCCGCTTACAAAAGGCTTACCACCCAACGTGTTCAGAGAACATGTAGCCGCATGGGTTTAAGGGAAAGCCTATAATTCCTGGACAAAAGAAGGCCCAAAGTTTAGTATCTATTTCAGAACAGAGTGGTGTGTTGTAGCTGTTAAATCTATCGGTAATTGACCGTGACGATGAAACATGCTCTATGCGCTAATCTGTAATGGAATGAACAAAAGTAAATGATATGAAATTGAAAGATGATAGGAGATCAAGGGGGAGATTGTTAGATTGATCTCTAATCCTAAACTGGGCCCAACGGCCCAGTTGAGCCTTTGATCCGCGCCCTGATCGGGGGCGCCCAGCCCACTATGGCTAGAGGGCCCCAGTCACACTGCGCAATAAATAGAGGTGGGGGCCGGCGGCTCAAGTCACAAGATTCGCCTGAGCCGAGCTCCCCACCGACAAACCCTAAACCCGATCTAGTGAGGGGCGCAGCCACTGACGGGAAGCACCTCCACCACTGCACTGCGCCGCCATCGGTCTTCACCGCCGGTCGCCACCGCCCATCATCGACACCGTCTTCACCGACCGTTGCTGCCCTCGCGCAGATACCGGCACAACAACCATGGCCGACGCCTCTGGATCGAAGGTCTACGATGGTCGGTAACCTAGCTCTATTCCTCCCTTTAATCTCTGTCTAGTAGATGTACTGGTACATGTTATCCGTTTACTAGATGTACCCGGCTAAATCTATGACCATGTGATCAGAAAATATTAACATTGTAGACATTTTATCCTTGGTATCTGTTACGAGGAGCTGTTTTACCGAACATTTTTGTAAAATAGATTTAGCTTCCCCACAAAAGTCAGGACATGTTTGGCACAGATCCAGACGGCTCCGGCTTCTTCTAGAAACACTGTAGCGCACTGCTTACGGAATCCAAAACTCTCTTTTCTCTCCTTTCACAGCCGAGGTAGTAGCCAGTGAAGTTAAAATTTTTGGCTCCTACAGCTCCATGTGTGTCCGTGAGAGAGATAGAGAGGAGAGAGGAAAATAGATTATAGCAACAGTGCATACACAGTATTTGAGTCAGAGGATCCCGAGCAGCAGGAATTCCTACTAAAGACACCCTCACTGATGCAAAGAAGTCAGCCGAATCTATTTTTGGAGGAGCTGGAGCTCTACCGAACGGGTACTAAGAGCAGTATTACTGGTTGTTGTGAGATGTGGTCTTAAAATTTCTGACGCTAGAATAACGACCACCCTCGCCGTCGACCTCTTTCCTCGATGATCCTCACCATCCATCTTACCAAACTCTTCGCCGATCTAATGCAACGGGCTTGGCAGTTGGCACCTACCTCCAGAAGTGGAGCCCGGAGTCACTCATAAAACCACGGGAAGGAAGGCATGCGTCTCCGATCAATCCGCTCTCCATTTCACTAGGCGACGCCAAAGAATGGGCAGCTCAACGCCTCCGTCCCAGTCTGGTAGTGGAACGCCAGCGGCGAAGCCGACTGTTGTCTTGGTGGCCCTATGGGGCGTCAGTCACTTTGCGCCCATGGTCGAGGTCGGCAAGCGACTACTCGCCCTCAGCGGCCGCTCCCTCACCGTCAATGTGCTCGTAGTGCCGTCGCCGACGGGGAAGTGGGAGGCCGAGATCTTCGAGCGCATACGCCGAGACGAAGCCAGCGGCCTGAACATCCGCTTCCACCACCTCCGTGCCGCGGAGCCCCCGACCGACCACACCGGCATCGAGGAGTTCGTCTCCCGCTACGTGCAGCTGTACGTGCCCCAAGTCAAGGCGATCGTGTCCGGCTTGACATGCCCGGTGGCCGCGGTCGTGGTCGACATCTTCTGCACAACGCTCCTCGACGCGCCCCAGGAGCTGGGCGTGCCGGCCTACGTCTTCCTCATCAGCAGCGCCGCGATGGCCGCGGTCTTGCTGCGCTCCCCGTCGCTCGACGAGGAGGTGGGCCCCGGGGTCGAGTTCGAGGAGTTGGAGGGCGGGTTGGACGTGCCTGGGCTCCCGCCGGTGCCGGCGTCCTGCCTCCCGACGGGACTGGACAACAGGAAGATCTCGACATACGAGTGGTTCCTGTACAATGGCAGGCGCTACATGGAGACCAACGGCATCATGGTCAACGCCATTGCCGAGCTTGAGCCAAGCGTTCTTGCAGCTATTACAGGCGGGAGATGCACGCGCGGGGTCCGGCCCCCGACGGTATATACGATCGGCCCGGTGGTCGCCATCGCGCCACGGATCAAGCTGGTCAACGAGTGCCTGCGGTGGCTCGACTCACAGCCAACAGCCTCCGTGTTGTTCCTATGCTTCGGAGGCGGCGGCGGCTACTTCAGCACGCACCAGGTGCACGAGATAGCACGGGGCCTGGAGCGCAGTGGCCACCGCTTCCTTTGGGTGTTGCGTGGACAGCCGGAGCCCCCCGGCAGCAAGCTGCCCACGGACGCAAACCTCGCGGAGCTGCTACCGGCGGGTTTCTTGGAGAAGACAAAGGAGAGAGGGCTGGTGTGGCCCACGAGGGCGCCACAGAAGGAGATACTAGCCCACGCCGCTGTGGGTGGCTTCGTCACGCACTGCGGCTGGAGCTCGATCGTCGAGAGCCTGTGGTTTGGCGTGCCAACTCTGCCGTGGCCGCACGCCGCCGAACAGCACTTCAACGCGTTCACGCTTGTGGCAGATATGGGCGTCGCCGAGGAGATGAAGGTGGACAAGAAGAGAAACAATTTCGTTGAGGCTGCCGAGCTGGAGCGAGCGGTTAAAGCTCTCATGGACGACGGCGAGACGGCGAGGAAGATTAGGAACAAATCCATGGACATGAAAGCTGCGTGCCGCAAGGCCGTGGAGCACGGCGGATCGTCGGTCGTCTGCCTGGAGAGGCTGTATGATGCGCTTATCCAAGGCGCTGTGGACCCGAAAGAGTGATTCCACGGACCTTTGCATGTGCTTTCGAATTGTCAGTGGATATTTGCGACTTTTATAGTTGCGCTTGTCGGATATATTACGGGCTCGGCACGTATAATGTTTAATAAATCGAATAAAAGTCTATGTTATGTAATATTAAGCGTTGTATGGTTTAATACCGTATAAGATTTTGATTGAACATTAACTTAGCTTATTTGGTTGGAAATTATCCATTTTAATTGAGAAGCTGGGAAAAGGACAAAGGAGTGCCACGCGCGCGCGTGCGCCGCCGCCGCCGGGCGGGCCGGGCCGTGGGCGTGGGCACGGGCTGTGGTGGGCGGGCGGGCGTGGCCAAGTTTTGCCACTTAATCCACATAATCACGGGAGTTTCTCTCTTTTATGGAGGAGGCGAACTAATTGCGTCAGTTACCGTCTCTTCGTGTCTCTGTCTCCTGGGTTTCTCCGCTGCCTTTCTCCCTCGTCCTCAGTCAGTCCAATGCTTCCGCTTCGCTTCCGAGAGACCATATCTCAGCCGCCCTTTTGGGTTTTCCTATCCCGTACCTCTGCACGCACAGAGTAACGGAAGAGCAGTTGCCTCCGGAACCCTCGTCCACCTGCGAACCTTGCACGGGGTGTGCGGCGGTTAGGTTTTTGGGGAGCGATTCCGCGACTGCTCGTCCGACGTCTTCTTCCTGGTGATCGATCGCGGAACCCGTCTTATTTCTGGTGATCGATCGTGGAACCAGTCTTCTTTCTGGTGATCGATCGCGGAATCCGTCTTCTTCCTGGTGACCGTTCGTGGGACTGCACTGCGAACACCTTCCTACATCGACTGTGGTCCACGACTTCGAGCAACACACTATATCGACTAGTGCGAATAGAGCCTCCGATGCCCTCGGCATGGGACCCTCCGTTGGGTACACTCTTATCTCTGTGATTACAACACTTTGCGTTATTATTGTATCGTTCTGTATGTCATAGTTGCATGCCGTAGCGTTTGTTAGTGATATACACATGCACATATATGTCATCACAAACCTGCTGATGTTTTATTTCTGGATTAAATTGATCATGAAAATGCATATTTATCTAACAATCCAAAAACCTAATGTTAAGCAATTTTCTGTCAATGGTTTTGCTGCTGCTTTGAAGCCAAATAATTTTGATGGCAAGAATTTCATGATATGACGTGCCAAGATGGTATTGTGGTTGACTGCTATTAACTGCTATCACGTCGCACAGGGGAAGCCTGAACAATTTACTCCTGAGGAGGAGAAAAAGTTCTTGGCTACCGATAACCTATTTCGAGACGCCGTGATTAGTGCATTTCATCCTAAGTATGAGAAAAACTAAATATCTTACACATCAGGTAAAGAGTTATGGGATACTCTTGAGACAAAGCTTGCGGCAGATATGGGCGTCGCCGAGGAGATGAAGGTGGACAAGAAGAGAAACAATTTCGTTGAGGCTGCCGAGCTGGAGCGAGCGGTTAAAGCTCTCATGGACGACGGCGAGACGGCGAGGAAGATTAGGAACAAATCCGTGGAGATGAAAGCTGCGTGCCGCAAGGCCGTGGAGCACGGCGGATCGTCGATCGTCTGCCTGCAGAGGCTGTACGATGCGCTCATCCACGGCGCCGTGAACCCGAAAAAGCGATGCCACGGACCGGTGCATGTGCTTTCGAATTGTCGGTGGATATTTGCGACTCCAATTTGCGCTCGGCAGTTTTGCCATTCGTAGCATCGACTTTGTAAAAATTGGCCTCCAATCATGTGACACTTGATTTCAATACGTGTATTTTCTCTCTTTTTTTAATCTCTATATACATGTATTTGGCTCCTAAAAAGACATTTCTGCCCTTCTGCATATGTTTGCTCGCTCCCTTCTGTTCGTTTGATTTTTCCGTCCGTACCCACCGTAAACCGTTCCTGGCCGTCTAGCCGCGGCGCTCGCTGGCTAGCCGCCGCCGCCTGGGCATGCAAGCTGGCTGGCCGCCGCCAGGGCAGGCAAGCAGCGCGGCCAGGTCTTGAAGGCCCGGCACGGCCAGGTCTTGAACGCCCGGAACGTCCGGCGCGGCCAGGTCTTGAATGCCCAACGCGGCCAGTGCTTGAGCGTGCGTGGACAGGCCGTCTGCGGTTGCTGCCTGGCCAAGGGCTGCCGCGGCCATGGCGTCGGGCGGCTGGCCGTCCATGGCTGCTGGCGCGGGAGGTCTGGATCGTAGTGGGCGGCGGCAAGACAAAGCTCGATCGGTTAGGGCGACTCGAAACGTCGGGCTCTCCACGTAGGTAAGGTGCAAAAAAATAGAAGGGTAAAAACGTCCTTTCAGATGCCAAATATAGGGAGGAATACTAGAAAAGAGAGAAAATACACAAAATGGTAAGAAAAACAAGTGTTGCCTGTTTGGGAAGAAAATTAATAAGAGATGAGGGGAGGATGTACCTGGTCAGAGGATCCCTGGTTCAACCGTGGTCACCACGGTGTGGCCACATGAGAAACTACTGCAGTCACTGAGCGGTGGCGAGCAGCGTGAGCAGGCAAGAGGCAACTGTAGGCGATGGATCCAAGGACTTGCAGCATGCCAACCGGTAGCAGATCTCCAACGGGGCTCGACTTGGGAGGAGGGGAGCGCACGGGGAAGACAGTGTCTACATCAAAAATAGATATAGCAAAAGCACACGAGCGTAATTTTTTTCTTGAGGGGAGTGGATAGGGAAGGTGGGCACCAGATCACATACCACAGACATCGTCGGTGGCTACGCGGCCATCGTTGGCGGCGGCGTGTCTCGTCGTGTCGTGCAGGGGTCGGCGGAGAAGTAGAGGTGGAGCAACTACGGCTGTCACGGGCACCGGCGCACCTCATCGTGTCGCGCAGGGGTTGACAGAGAAGGAGTAACCACGGGCGTCGGTGGCTACGCGTAGCTCGCCGTCGTCTCGTCGTCCTGTCGCGCTGGTTTCAGGCGGAGAAGCAGAGAGGCGGAGTAGGAGGAGCGGATTTCTGCGTTGACGTGGAAAGCACAAGGGAAAAAGTAGAAAACAACGAAAAAGTCTATGTAACCCCAACTATTCAGATGTACTATTCTCCTACGACAAAAAATAACAAAGCGTGGATATTTTTTGGTGCGACATTTGTTTTGGGTCTGCCTCTCTCCCCCCCGTGCGATACCGCGGCTCCGTCGTACACTGAGAAGGAAGGTGGGATCATGGGTTGTCATTCCCTTCCTTGCGCCTTGACGGTCCTGGATTGCTCGGAGGCACAGCGTGGGGGCGCGGCTTGGGGGTTTCGAGCGTACGGCGGCGTGCGGCGCTCGGCCGCTCGAGCATGGTGCCCGGCATGCGGCCGTGCTCGCTGCGCCGCGGCGTTGCCTTCTCCCATCCTATGTTCCTCCCAGGGCTTCGAGCGTGCAGCGACATCCGTCGCTCGGCCACTCAGTCGCGGTGGCCGGCGTGCGGTGGCCGGAAAGCGCTCCGGCCGGTGCAGTGGGCTGAGCAGTCCTCCAGCCGGAGTGGATGTTGTGGTCGTGCCACCATGGTCGGACCACCGCACCAGCAAGCGGCAACCATCGCGCGGACGACGAGCGAGACGACCTCCACGTGCTCGCTTCCTGCGACGGCCTCGCTCCTCATCCTCCTTTCCGGCGGCGGCCTCCAGATCTTCAACCCAGCGACCTGCCAGCGCGCTCCCCTCAGGCTGCTCCATGGCGCCGCCTGCATTTCCGTGCTTTACCCTCATCGTCCATCCGGATCGTACCGAGTGCGGTGCTGCTTCAAGAGAGTCGAGGATGGCCACGCCGTGTGCAGGTTTTTTTCTCTGCTGCCGGTACTGGATCGAGAAGGTGAAGTGCTCATCCTTTCCGACAGAGGGGAATCAGGCATCCTGTGGCAACATCTGTATCACATGTTAATTTGATTCCCATACTAATTCTCTATACAACTTCACAATTTTATTAGTATAATCATTGATTTTCCTATACCATTTTTCTTATTACTAGACTCTATTAACAGATAGTTCTGACCGATGCCATGACAGTGATGAGATGAAGGTTTAGGTTGGTGAGATGTGATGAAGGATCTTTATGGGCTATAAATGATTGAGATTGTGTGTCAACATTTGGTCTTTGGTGGGTTTTTCTTTGAGGTTGGATGCTAAGGCAAGATAGAAAAATAGCACACAAGTAACATATCTGCCTAGAGAGGCTGTATGATGCGCTTATCCAAGGCGCTGTGGACCCGAAAGAGTGGTGCCACAGACCTTTGCATGTGCTTTCGAATTGTCAGTGGATATTTGTGACTAATAGTTACGCTTGTTGATATATTACGAGCTTGGCCCGTATAATGTTTAATAAATCAAATAAAATTCTATGGTACGTAACATTAAGTGTTATATAGTTTAATACCGTACGAGATTTTGACTGAACGTTAACTCAGCTTATTTGGTTGGAAATTATCCATCTTAATTGACAAGCTGGGAACAGGACAAAGGAGTGCCACGCGCGCGCCGCCGCCGGTCGGGCCGGGCTGTGGCCGTGGGCGCGGGGCGTGGCGGGCGGGCGGGCGTGGCTAGGTTTTGCCACTTAATCCACATAATCACGGGAGTTTCTCTCCTTTATGGTGGAGTTGAACTGATTGCACCAGTTACCGTCTCTTCGTGTCTTCATCTCTAGGGTTTCTCCGCTGCCTTTCTCCCTCGTCCTCCGTCAGTCCAATGCTTCCGCTTCGCTTTCGAGAGACCACATCTCAGCCGCCCTTTTGGGTTTCCCTGTCCCGTACCTCTGCGCGCACGGAGTAGCAGGAGAGCAGGTGCCTCCGGAACCCTCGTCCACCTACGAACCTTGCACGGGGTGTGCGGCGATTAAGTTTTTGGGGAGCGATTCCGTGACTGCTCGTCCGACGTCTTCTTCCTGGTGATCGATCGCGGCACCCGTCTTCTTCCTGGTGATCGATCACAGAATCCGTCTTCTTTCTGGTGATCGATCGCGTAACCCGTCTTCTTCCTGGTGACCGTTCATGGGACTGCAATGCGA